AAAAGGTGGCCATGCCCACCCAGTCACATTACCCCACCCCCACCAAGCCACACCCACAGAACCGGTAGTAACAAATTTTACATTTCATCACTGATTACTTCCATGTCCTGTTCCAATTCTTTTCTAAAACCAGCAAGCTGATAACCACCGCAACATAGTGCATTTCAAATTTTAATTGTTTATTCTGTTTTTTAAAAATCTTTAATCTTTCCTGATTCCTCATGAACTCCATTTTCATTGGATGATCTGAGGTCAGCCCATTTTTCAGGAAGCATTCTAACGAGGTTCCTGACTGTCATTCTTTCAGACCTCCAGAATGCTATTTACTATCCCAAGACTATCTTTTACCTTTTTGTTTCTAGACAGACAAACAAACAAAAGCATTGGTTGCAACTGTTCACCATTTTATGAATTGTGATGCATTCTGAAATTTTTAAAGATCTCAAGGCACTGGCACATTGTTTTTCAGCAAGCTATCTCTTTCTTTGGTTATTTTAAATTAGAAATAATTAAATAATAGTAACACCATAATTAAATAATAGTAACATCAGATGAGGCAAGAAGTTATTCATGGAAACACTGATATCTTGAGCAGGTACTGCCTATATTTTTGTGTCTTCTGATCAGTGGTGGGTTCCTACCAGTTCCGCCGAGCCGGTAGCAGTGACGATATGACGTCACCGAACCGGTTCTGCCCCCCCTGCCCCCCCCACGTTATTCTTACCTTTTATTTGACCCCACCCCCAATCTATTGCTGCCTCCTGAGTCCCATCTGATGGCTAGAGGGGAAAAAAACTGTTTAAACTTTTGCTACAGGGCTTCAGTGCCGCCCTACAGCTGATCAGTGTTAAAAGAAAACAAATGGGTAAACCGGTGCCTGCAAAAATACATGAGTAGATCAGCGCCTGCAAAAGGTTCCCATAGCTGCTCTGAAAGCTTTCCTCATTTCTCTAAGTCTGACTGTATAAAGACTCCCAGCAAAGTAGGAGTCTGGACATGCACACAAGTGCAAATGGTTGTCCAAAGTAGCTGTGTGATCCTTCCAGGACTTGTTGTAACAGTTCAAGAAGAGGTGCTTGGAAAAGCATATTTGCAAAGTACTGTGCATCTTTTAAAATGCTTTGCATGACTCCAGAAACGCAAACCCTTCTGCTCATAAGTGATTACAGATTCATCAAGAGATTCAGAAGGTACAAAAATAATCACACTTGTTGCACCAAGAGAGGCAAACAACTTTGTATGATCTAAGATAATAATTTCTAGCAACAACATCTACCTTTCTCAAGCAGGTATTCTTTAGTTACGGGGATTTGCAACATCAAAAAAAACCAAATACCTGGAACGGTACCAGACTAAGAGATAAGACTACACTACATCATAATAATTATCAGAATAAATACAAAGGGTCACTTTGCTCTGGTTTCCTATTATTTGCATGTTATGTAACTCCACCTGTATGAGCACACAGTTTTTAAGCCAGTGATCAGCTTTTTTGAGTACAAGTTGGTTCAGAAATAATGTATCCAAGAATTTCTGTGAACTGTGTTCCATTCAAATCATACTGGTTTGAAACCAATATAGCCTTAAAATTAAATCAGAAGTAATTATGAAATTTAATACCTAACAAAATATATACTGTATTTTTTGGATTATAAACACACTTTCCCCCCCAAAAAAGTGGGTGGAAATGTCTGTGTGTCTTATAGAATGAATACGGACCTGTTTTTGGCCTTCCAAACCCTCCGTGCATCCCATTTTTGCCCTTCCCGGCTTCCAGAAGCACTCTGCAGGCCAAAAACAGGCCCGTTTTTGGCCTCTGCAGGCCTCCACAGGACCAGTTTTTGCCCTCCAGAAGCACTCTGTTTTTGGCCTCCCAAACCCTCTGCATGTCTTGTTTTGGCCTGCAGAGTGCTTCTGGATGCCAGGGAGAGCAAAAACTGGACCCACGGAGGATTTGGAAAGCTGAAAACGGGCCCTTTTTTGGCCTTCAGAGTGCTTCTGAATCAGGGGAGCGCAAAAACGGGACGCACGGAGGCAAAAACCTATTTTTTTCTTATTTTCCTCCTCTAAACCTAGGTGTGTCTTATAGTCCAAAAAATACGGTAAATATATATAAATGAACCCTTTGAAAAAACTGTCCAAGAATAGTATGCATGCTGTGAATTAATCAACACAAAGTGAATAATTTATCCCAACTCAAGATCACATTCTTGGGCTGAATCAGCAACAGCATTGCTGCTTTCCTTTTTTTAAAAGATGTGAGATTATTCTATTCCCCTAGCAAAATCATACCTGCTGCACTATGTAAAGCCTGTGACACAGAGTTTAGCAGACTTTTGGAACAACAATGATGTCTTTCTTTAAAAAAACATTATTAGTGTAGAATATATACAAATAGACTTCACAATCCCTATTTTATACTCTTTATCTCATTGTTACTACCATAAGGGTAAAACATCTCTTCAGTCAAACTTGATTTATGAGGCTTACATAGATCCTTTTGTATAGGCTTTTTAGCAATACACATGATCCATTCCCACATGCACTAATGCATATAATGAATTCTTCTATGCTTATAAGTGAGGATCTGTCTTTTTTCTACCAGACCAACTTAAACATGCAGTGGATATCAAAGAAATAGATTATAGCCTGCTAACAACATACAAGGTTGAAGAGAGGCTACAGGATAGAGGGAAATATATTATGGGACAGAGTCAGCTATTATTCCATAGTTTAACCTGAAATGTTGATATATATATATATTTACAATGGTCTTAGCAAGAGAAAGCCTCTAGCTAATTTTGTACAACAGAGAAACTAAGCAAAATTGGAATGGTTAGTACTTGGATGGGATTCCATCCATACTTTCAGAAGTAGACTATGAAGACTGACTTCTTGAAAACCCTCAAGAAGTCAACCTACACCACTTTTATATCTTGCCAGACTGCTTCAAAAGTGTCTTCACATTTATACCAGCCTACATTAGAAGCATTGAGCCACTTAGATCAGCTGTCAACAACTCTTATTTCTATTTATCTTCCCAGTTACTTAGGTTTCCAAGTGAGCCTCTTCCAATAATTGGTACTATGAACCTCTCACATTATTTTTGTTGTAGCATTTGCAGTTGAGCTTTAGAACGCCGATCCCAACCATTAAAGCAGTAGTCTCTAGCCTCCTATTAATTTGACATTTTAGGAAGTGCAAGGGTCACAATAGAAGAACAATGAAGGGCAAACTCAATGGAAGTATTTTTTTTTCTTGGTTTGGAATGGGGGAGCTTTTGTAGGTTTCTTACTTCAAAAAAAATCAGTATTAACCTTATGGTAGGCCATGCACTAGAATTTTAATTTGATTCCTCCCTAAACATGGTGAGGATTTGTGTCCCCAGTTTCAGCAAAGAATGTAGGATGCTACTCAGGCAATCAGGAACTTGATATGTAGCCTTAGGCCATTAAGTTGCCCACTCCTTCATACAGCCTTTGTAGTTACACAAAAGGAAAAATTACAAGTATTCCCTCTCACTAAGAGCTTCAGCTAATCTGCTTCTGAATTGAGTATCTCTAGCTTTTCTCTTCTGCTCTTACAATTTCTTGGGTTTTTTCTTGTCTTTCATATCTCTTTTATGCCATCCTGGAAAGATAAAGCTTCTTAATTATTAAACCTGCCAGCACTACCTTAGAGTCTATAGTCTCATGAAAGTTTTGAGGCTGCACACACCAGCATATAAGGCTCCCAGAAGGATTTTCAAACCACTGTCTATAGGAGACTTCTAGGTATTCAGACTCACTTTAAAAAAGATTTCCAGACTGCAGTTTCCCTCACTGGCCAGTGGAATAAGTAAACTTTTTTTTCTATGAGCCATATTATTTGCTGCATCTTGCCCCACAATTTTCTCAAGGAAAAAAAATCCTAGCAGAGTTATAAGTTGCTCTCTTCCATTGCCACAAATACAACAAAACTCTTCTGTCCGTTCCCAAAAAGGATAATTCAAACAAAGAGTATTAATGTGATTTGTCAAATCCATAAAGCCCCTTACCATCTCAAAACGGTATTTTAGAATATAGTACCAGAACCATTGTATTTCCAAACCCCTTTTGCATCATATATAATAAAAACATGCCATTACAGTATTGAAATTAAAGTGATCGTTTCAAACAAAATGTAATTACTAATACAGGTAGTCCTCAACTTACAGCCATTCATTGAGCACTGTTTGAAATTACAACAGAACTGAAAAAAGTGATTTGTGACCCTAGCAGCATCCCCATAGTCATGTGATCAAAATTTGGGCACTTGACAACTGTATTTACAATGGTTGTAATATCCCAGGAACATATAACCATTTAGCAATCTTCCCAGTCAGCTTCTAACAGCAAAGTCAATGGAAGAACCTAAATTCACTTAACAACTGCACGATTCACTTAACAACTATAGCAAACAGGTCATAAATTCGGTGCAACTCACATAACAACTATCTTGCTTAGCAATATAAATGCTGGTCCCAGTTGTGGTGGTAAATCTAGGATTACCTGTACCACTAAAATGTCTACAGCAGTAAATACGGTATATCAATATGTAACAACATTTGCAGTACAATATTCATATGTATATACTGTATAAGCAAGCTCCACTGATATAACTGAAAATTAAATCACACTTAGGATATGACTTCCAGCTAAGATTTAAAACAAAACCAAAAAACCCCAGAACTCTTGAATAAGAATATACCCCAACGCCCATATTAAAGAGGTATATCATGTGATACAGAAAAATTTAATCTGATGTACTAAAAATCAACCATGAAGAAACAGCATTGACAGTAATCATGTAATCTGTCATACATCGTCGCTTGAACATTTAGTACAGATAAATTATAAAACAAACAGCATTCTTCCCAATATTTTTTATTTTTAAAAAATTGTAATTATTTATGTTTCATTTCCAAAGGAGGCTGCATTTTGTGAGACACAGCAAACAAAATTATAAATACCAAAAGTTACCAATTTTTTTCAAATTGCACTTTCAAATTTTCCTTAGTTGTAAGCAGGGCAGGAAAATGGTACTTTGTAAGTCGTTTCCTTTTCCTTGGCTATGTTTTCAAAAATAAACCACACTGACACATTTAACTTCGTTGATAGGTGATACTTCCAATTTAAAAGTAATCTCATAAAATTATTTCATTGGGCAGCAGCTTTTTCTGTACAGGAAAGAAAAAGTATTTATTCTTTTCATAACCTATGAAACCATAAAAACCAGTTATTTGTTCTAGATTTCCATATGCCTAAATCAATTATCTAGACCACTATTGTATCATCCACCAAGTGCTGGATGTTCCTAAGCAAACTGAGGCCACTACTTATAATTTTTTGGCAGTGTCCTACTCAGCTCCACCTCAAAAAAAAAAAAAAAAAAAAAAAAAAACCAGGCTGGAGGAGGAACCAGCCTTTAAAGGCACAGGCTTAAATTAAATCTTGTAGTTAACATTCAATAAATCTATCTGGGGGTAGGGGGGACCAAAATGCACTATCTATACAAAAATTTGTAACAAAAAAGAAAAAGAAGCTCAGGAAACAGAAATGCAAATAAGAACACCATGACTTAAACTTGCAGGTCTGAGTAATGGAAGGGGGTGGGAGTGGATCTTGTTAACTATTTTAGAAACATCCTATTCAGAGAATAGAATAACATTTTAGAACCCATAAATAGTAATTTTCTACAAAAATGTGTCAATCAGAAAACATTCACAGGTCTATGATCCTGCTTTATTCTTGCCTCTCCAGAAATACACAGTAGTTGAAAATAGTGTACTGTAATGACTTTCTATAAAATGGCATTTTTATAATTGAAAAGATATTCTGGAAAAACCTCTGGGAATATTAATACATTAGGGAGAAAATCCACAAAATTCTGTGTACCTAAAATTGCATGGTCAGTATGGAATTCAAAAAGCTTTTGAAATTTTTTCACAGTATTGTTTATTGACACTGCAATAAATAATAAAGTCAGTGACAGATCACTTCTGTCCATTCAAATTTAAGGAACTAAACCATGCTTTTATTGCATTTTCATCATACCGCTTGTCTCTGCACTTATGGACATTATCCATAAACTGGATAAGCTGATGATTTATCTGCATGTTAATTAGGTAAAATATCAACCAGTGTCTTAATTCTTCTTTTTTTTCCCATGGATTAGCATTACTGGATTTTTTTTTTAAAAAAAATTGTTTTGTGATCAGCAGCTTTGTTTTATTCTTAGGTTCTTTTTTAAATCATAGATGACAATTATAGAATCTCAGTACTGTATAACTAAGAAAACAAGATTTTAAATTGATTAAATTGATTTAAATTAAACTGTGGGAATGGTAATCATTGTAAATATGCTGGATTTGGATAGAGTAAGGAAAGCATTCCTTCTGACCACGTGATTCAAAAACCATGAAAATCTAGGTAAGAACTCAAATACTCCAAAGAAAATTTTGTGGTCAACATATTAAGGCAGCGGTCCACAACCTTTGCAGCTTGGTGGCCTGGCCGGAGGGGGGGGACAGGGGAACCGGGCTGTGTGAGCAGCGGGCTGGCACACATGTACGCGCTCGCACAGCTTGACTTGCGCAAACGGTGGGCCAGTGTGCATGCACATGCACACGCAGTTTGAGTTGTGTAAGTTGAGCTGTGCATGTGCATGCACGCTGGCCTGCTGCTCGCACAAGTTGAGCTGTGTGCGTTTGTGCGGCCCGGTTCCAAATAGGCCACAACCTGGTAGTGGGCCACAGCCCGGGGGTTATTCTGTATTAAGGAACAAGGTGCCATAAATGTCAATGCAGGTAATGCTTGATTTATGACTAGTCATTTAATAACCAGTTGATGTTACAATGGGCTAGAAAAATGTTACTAATGATCTGTCCTTGAAGTTACAACTGTGTGCTCATTTTGGGTATTTGATAACAGGCTCACATTTACAACCCGTTGCAGGAAACAACGATTTGCAAGGTTTTGGTTGTTTTCTAATTGAAAATGGCAAAAAATGCCCTTACAGTATTTTGGATTTATTTAATGACCATGTGTGTCATTTAACCGTGGTGACTTGTTTTACAACTGTCATAAAATGGTCATAAAACCGACTTTGCCTGGACTTACAACTGCAATAACTTAAGACTAAAATTCCAAGTTCCACTGAGGTCATAAGTCAAGGACTTTAAGGAGGTTATCTTACAGCATTTTCTGATTCAAGTAAAATATTTGTTTCCCTTGCACCCATGTCAGCGCAATATCATTAGTGTTTGAATCAATTGCATTCCAACATGAAGAAATAATAACCTATCATAATAACCAGTTTGGTCTAGTGCTGTGATGGCGAACCTATGGCACACGTGCCACAGGTGGCACACGGAGCCATATCGGTGGGCACATTAGCTCAGCTGATTTTTGGGCCTTTTGGACCCACTAGAAGTAGGGAAGCAGGCTGTATCCTGCCTCCGGAGGGCCTGGGGCGGGGAAAGGGCCATTTTTTGCTCTCTCCAGTCTCTGGAGCCTCTCTAGGAGCCTGGGGAGGGCGAAAACAGCTTTCCCCAGCCCCCAGGAGGCCCTCCGGAGGCTGGAAACGGCCTGTTTGCCAACTTCTGGTGGGACTGGAAGGCCTGTTTTTTGCTCTCCTCAGGCTCCAGAGCCTCTCTAGGAGCCTGGGGAGGGCAAAAACAGCCTTCCCCATCCCCCCCCGGAGGCCCTCCAGAGGCTGGAAACGGCCCGTTTGCCAACTTCCGGGCCCACTCTGCCACTGCGTGCCAAAAGCGGGGGGAGCCCAGGGGGGTGTTGTGCACGCAGGTGCGGTGGGCGTGGCATATATAATTATGGGTGTGGGCACGCACATGAGCTCCCCCCGCTTTTGGCACATGAAGGCAAAAAGGTTAGCCATCACTGCTCTAGTGGCTAAGGCACCCAATCTAGAAAGCAGGAGACTATGAGTTCAAGTATTGTCATAGGTATTAAAACCAGCTGGGTGACCTTGAGCCAGTCCCTCTCTCTCAGCCCAACTCACCTCACATGGTTCTTAATGTGGGGAAAATCGGAAGGGAAAAGTGTATTGGATAGATAATGCGCATGTCCAAGATGGCGGCATCTGCCTGAGCCACGGTTTGTGGATGGGGGTTTTTGCCCCAAGGGTCCCTTTTGGGGGTCGTTTTGGCGATTTCTGACCCCTGGTTTGGCTGGGGGAGTTTCCCGCCGGCCGGTTGGGGGGTTTGTGCCCCCGGGAGATCGAGGCTTGACGGGACGGCGATGGTGGTGCCGGCGAGATCCGCTGTGGGCGCACCAGCTGGGCGGCGGCGGCGTTCCTCTCTGCTGGAGCCGTTTGGAGGTCGGAGCAGCAGCAGCGACGGGTCCGCTGAAGTCGTTTGCGGTCCGGGCATGGCCCCAGGCTCAGAGGTTTTCCTGGGGACCGCCGGACTCCTTGGTGAGCTTAGGGACGCTGCCAGAATTCCTCCTTTGGCAGCGTCAGCGGAAGCGGCGTCAGCGGCTGCAATGGCGGCCGCCTGGCGATGGCGGGGAGGAGAGCGTCGTCCGCCAACCCTGCTGAGGTGGTCGACGGGGTCAACGTGGCAAAGTGGAACACCGACCATCCAGGCTTGGCGAGGATTGACGTGAGGGCTGCCCAGTTAATGGGTTAGTTCCTCACGGCCACCGGGAGGCCTCCGTTGGATTTTGCGGGCTGGGGGTGGGAGTTTTCTCCCCCCTATTTTTCCATCGTTCCCCTGACATCATGCCTTCGGACTGGCTGCCATTTACGGACTCACTGGCACTGAAGTTTGGCTCATATTCATCTGAGCCCTCCCCCCCCGCCGTTAAGGGGACTGTAAATTGTATTGGGAGGTTATGAGAGCCGGTGTATTTCTTCCATCCCACCAGCAGAGGGGACTGATCATCCTACCAACCACCATGAGAGGGTGGTTTTGGCTTTTGTGCCCCTCAGGCTGAGTCGGTATGGTACTACCTGCATTTCGCCAGCAAAGGGAATTGACTATCAGACCAACCACCGTGAGAGGGTGGTTGTGGACTATTAGACCAACCACTGTGAGAGGGTGGTTATGGACTTTAACCCCTTGTGCTGTGTTTGATATTGCTCACTACTTCCATCTCATCAGTAGAGGGGATTGACCATCAGACCAATCACTGTGAGAGGGTGGTTGGATTGTATCTCCCTTGAACTGTGTCGTCTTGGCAAGAGATCCTACCCACTGTGGTGAGGGGGCAGTGGACTTTGGACCTTGGACTTTGGATGCCCCCATCTTATTTGTCCACCCTGGACCTCTTATTCTCCATCTGGACCCTTGGAACATGGTCACTTATCCTCCTGTGGCAAGATGTATTCGGCAGCTGAGCTTCTTGTTCTGCGAGACTCCCCCCTCTCGCAGGATTGGCCCTCCAGTCTATCGAGGGCCTACCTCGATGATGGGTTTTGGAAACCCGAGAGGTGGCATGCGGCGAAGAGGGGGCTGAGGGGTTTTTTAAAATTGTCATTTGCCAATTTTTAAGGGGTTTTGGGAGGGGGGAGGGTTGTTTGGCAAAGGATAGGGAGGGTGATTTGTTGGGGGGGGGCGCCAGGCCTGGCACAGGGCCGCATTAGGGGAGGTGCAGAGCGGGGATCTGAGGGGGTGGGTGTCGTGAGGGAAGAGGGCGATGTCATCAGTACTGTGGATGGGAGGGGCAGGTATGGTGGGAGCAGGGGGCCATATCATGTTGTGGGGGCGCGTACCCGCTGTCTCCAAGCGGTAACGTGCTCCGGCTCCCAATGCTCTTCTCGTTCCCTGGGTTGTCCAGAGCCTCAGAGCCTGGGTCTTAGGCTGATGGTGTGCAACACCAGGTCCATGATTAATAAAGCCCCCCTCATTTGTGAGTTGATTCAGGAGGGGGGAGCGGACCTGGCGGGTATTACAGAGACCTGGTTGGGCCAGGAGGGGGGGTCCCCCTCGTAGAAATGTGCCTATTGGGTTTCATCAGCCAAGGGCCCAGGGTAGGGGTGGGGGGTAGCGGTTATTGTAAAAGAAGGTCTTGATCATTGAGAGAGGTTTATTGGACCCGTGTCCCTCCTGGTTGGTGCTGGCTACCCGGGAGATTACACGAGGCTGGCTCCAGAGGATTATAAATGCTTCCTTGATTGAAGGTTTCTTGCCTCCCGCCTTGAAAGAGGCGATGGTGAGGCCCCTCCTCAAGAAGCCCTCTCTGGACCCAGCTGTTTTGGCAAACTATTGTCCAGTTTCCAACCTTCGCTTCTTGGCGAAGGTTGTTGAGAGCGTGGTTGCGCGACAGCTCCCGCAGTACCTGGATGAAACCGTCTATCTAGATCTGTTCCAGTCTGGCTTCAGGCCCGGGTACAGCACGGAAACGGCATTGGTCGCGTTGGTTGAT